TGGTATTACTTTCAGCCTGGGTCAAAGAAACTTTGTTTTCAATGGGCAAGAGTTATTTCAGAGACTCATAACAGTTGACTGCTTACTTCACAGAGCATAATGGGAATTCCATATTCCCACATCTACATCACATGGAACATTAAAGAAGAGGAGGTAAAAGATTTTAAGATCTGGAGGATGAGAAGGGGACATAGGTTAAGACTTTGCCATATGACATGGCAGTTGGAATTATGAACACACAATGGCCTGGCTACCTGGCCTAAATCTGCCCTAAATCGTACACAAAATATAAGGGAGGCTATTTGGAAGAAAGCTAACCAGGGATGAGAGAGAGGGTGAAGAGACGGTAATGGTGGGTGATTAAACCTATGCAATGATTAAATATCAGTATTTATTAATTATAAGTATTAAACAAAATTTAAACCAATAGAATTTAAGGGGGATACCAATGCCTAGTCAGAGGCAAATCTTTTGTCATATATATAAACAACTAATTAGAAAAGCCTTATACTTAGTTATTGTTCTATTTATTTAATTAAAACCAGATAGTAAATAAAAACACTTTTTTTTTTTTTAAATGAAGAAAACAAGCCAGGTGGTGGTGGCACACACCTTTAATTTTAGCACTCAGGAGGCAGAACCTGGTGGATCTTGAGGTCAGCCTGGTCTACAGAGCGAGACCCAGGACAGGCACCAAAACCTACACAGGAAAACCCTGTCTTGGAAAAAACAATACCCCGCCCCCCCAAAAAAAATGAAGGAAAAAAAGTAACCAAGCAGAAGAGACCTCTAAAATGAAAATTTGAATTCACTGAAGAAATTAAGAATGACACAAGAAGGTGGGAAAATTGTGCATCCACATGGAATAGGGCATATTATTGCAAAATTATCAGTGTTAAAAGATGTATCTGATTAACTTAAAATCCATGACAATCGAGCTCCCCATGATTTACTCCATAGGTACAATGAAGAGAATCCTACAAATGTACAGGGAAGCACAAAGACCCTAAGAGAGCAGAGTAAGCCCAGACACACAGAGCACAGCGTCAGTCATCCGAGCTGTGATTTCTGATGACACTAAAGATCCACAGGAACAAGAGTGCCTTGGGAATGGCAGAAGAACAGACATACTAAACAATAAGAAAAACAGAAACAGAACCAGGCCAAGCAGGTGAATTTCACCAAAATGGCAAAAACATATGCTACAGAATAGACAGCCTCATCAACAAATGGTGTTGGGAAAAGTGAATATCCACATATAAAAGAATGAAAGGGTCCAGTGAATTCCAGTTCACAATTCCAGTGAATTGTGAAGCCTGCAGAGTAGCACAAGGGGAAATAAATCCATATACATTTTCTGAATGGCACTACAAATTAACAGGACACAAGAGCAAGAAGCAACAAACAGGATTGCATGCAATTAAAAACTTGCACAGAAATGGTAATAGCTAAAAGTATGAAGAAACAGCCTACAGAATGGAGAAATCTGTTAGCAAACTTTTAATAGCACAATACAAAAACATAGATTCTCATTAAGAATTAAAAAAATGCAAAGCAAATAAATATTGCAATCAATAAATAAGCAAAAAAAGAGCATGTTCAAAGTAACTAAAACAACCAAAATGTCCATAGTACATGCTTCACACTTTTAATCATGAAGAAAATGCTCATCTATTATACACTGAGATCTCATCTCTGCTTAGTCAGTGTGTATACTCAAGGTCCCAAACAATAACAAACCCTGGAGAAAATGCAGGAGGAAGAACACACAGTCTCAGTGGGAATGCAACTCACTGCAGCCACCAGGGAAGTCAGTGTTGCAGCTTCCTAAACAACCAAACAAGCAAAAATAGAAAACACAGAGAAGATACTAATCAAGTTTATAAAGGAATTAAATATGCTGCAAACTATCAACAATATAGAAAGGAACTCAGAAAGAGACATAAGAAATAAAGAAAAATTAACAAAATGATTTGTTTTTATATTATCCTTCAGTGATTTATTGAAATGTATGTGGACACTCTTCCCCAAATCAAACATAAATATAGGATACAGCTTCAGGAATATATCATAAGAAGTCAGCTGGTTATGTCAAAGTCACTACCTGGAGGGATCAGGGAATTCCTCCAGAGGAAGCCAAATTCCAAAAAGCTTTTGGTGTTAGTTGGCTTGTTACATATCAGCTATTTTCTGTTATGAAAATCATGTGTGCCTTCATAGTTTTCCCAACTGACTCTTCCCTAAGAAGGGCTAAGAGTGTGTAGACTTATCACTCTCTGGACTTACACATTCCAGGTATTTGGAGAACAGCCTCAGGAAAGGCTTTCTCTGGAATCAGATTATCTCCCTTGGCCACTTTCAAGGACTAGCAGTAACAACAGTCCACATGCAAGTTTCCTGATTTAAGGCAAATTGCACAAGGAGACACCGCCTAGGTCAGGTGGATGTTAAGTAATAGCTTTACACAATTTAGCTCAGACCCTCCATTCTTACAGCCTTACTAACTTTATAGACCTTTAACTCCTTACCTAACCACTTCTAGGAATAGTTAGATAACTTTTTGTGCTGACAGCTATGCTCAGCCAGAACCCTAGTTCAAGCTTCCCTGTAATTATCATTGGCAGCATCCGGCCAGGTCCATCCCCAGATGGAGGAAAGTACCTTATCAGAGATACCTCTGTACTCTCTAAGAACAGACTTAAGCATCCAGGCTACCTGTTTGAGAAGGCCTAGTGGATGTGCCAATTAAGCTTAACTTCCTCCTTTCCCAAACTTTACCTCTAGTTCCAGATCTCCCTTTAACTATCATCAGAGGCATCGAGCTGTACACAGGTTGCCTAGTGACTGAGCATACTTTCCCCCACCCTGCAGAAAAACGGCAGATAGCTTGGACAGATAGGAGCCACAGGAAAAAAGAAGACAGTTTTGTTTTCTCCCATTGGCCTAGCAACTTATAGATCTTAACATTTTCTACCAATCACATTTAAGATTATAGTTGAGCACTTAAGAGCCCTCTTCTTAGACATTACCTGAATCTAGCCTTTAGTTAATTCATTTCCCCATTGGTCACTTCCCTTTGGGGTTGCAAATGATAATTAATGGTTATTGCCTCTCTGTGTGATTCTTATCACCCCTCTGTTTGACCCTGGAAGCCTGGCTTTGCACAGCTAAGGAATTACTGCTTGTAAGTGTATATATACCAGGACTTCCAGGGCACAGGAGGACAGAGAAGAGAAAAGAGAATGGAAGAACTAGATGGGTAAGAACTTGAGAGGAACAAACTGAGATGGGGAAGAACTAGATTGAAGGGCTAGAAGAGAATACTAGAGGGATGAGATGGAAAATGAGGAAGAGCCAGATGGGGAAGTACTAGCTGGGTAAGAACAAGAAGAAAATAACCTAGTTGAGGGAGAGTTAAGACAAGAGAATTAAGATAGAACTTAGAGGGAGCAGTAGATAAATATAGAGAGAAATCAGGCAAGAAAGGAGCTAGGCACGAGAACAGAACTGAAGCTGTGTATAAAGGATGTTATGCTAAAGGAATTAAAGCAAATGGACTAAGAAGTCAGTGTGCTGAGATTCTATTTCCTGAAAATAGTCCTCGACGTTAGTAGTTCTCTCTCCTGAGCCCCTGGGATGTATAATATTAAGGCTGGTCCCGCTAATATTATACAAGAATATTCTATGAAAGTATTTCCTTCAAATATAAGGATACAAAATGCTAAGAGTGAAGGAAGTTTTTTAATAAGATATGCTGTGATGAGGGTTGGTCATAATAATGGTAGATAAAAGAAAAAGCCAAATCTATCAACATAGAAAGCAAAAATTTTAACAAATGATCAAATGGTCCATTTCCCAGAAAGTTATGTGATCAATATAAATGCATTTCACATAACAGTTTCCAAATACATGAAGCAATAAATGACAGAATTGTAGGAAGCAAGTAAGACAGTGAAGAAAGGAAGTTTCAACATCCTTCACTGGGTGATGTTGGAAAACAGACAGAACATTAGTGAGAAAAACCATGAACAGCACAGAAAACCAGTAACGTCTAGCAGGCCTCCAGAGAATCATCCACACAACAGCAGAAGACACCCAGTCTTCTAATTCCAAGCAGCATTCTCCAGTGTAACCATGTCTTAGAAATAGAACAAGTCTTCAAACCTAGTAAAGATCAATGACTAAAAAGTATCTTCTCCAAGAAATTGCAATGCTGATATCAACAGTACAAAACAGAAAAAGAATACATAAAAGGTAAGTGAATACTGACTCACTGATAGCATGTTCTCATTCAAACACAGGAAGAAATGTAAAAGAATGTGTTCTGTAAAGACTCCAAGTAATTTGTGCCAAGCTCATATAGGCATTTTTCACATGAATAGAGCAATTGTGAGAAACCACTTCAAAGACTTCAAAAATTATTAGAGAAGGACCAAATCCAGAGGTGATTTCAAAATATACAGAAGTTATAGCAATGCGAATCATTGAGAGTTGACATGAAGACAGAAGACAGGGAATATCAATGGACAGACAATGCAGTCAGAGTTTAATACTCTGCAGAGATACTAAGCAAATCTTACCAAAATCCTGTTGGCATTATTTTAGGAAATGGAGAAAGTAACCCTAAGACAACAGAACCTGAAGAAGCTATAAAATGCTCCAAAAATTGAGAACAGGAAAAACCAAGAGGCATCAATGGTTCTAACTAAACATTATATTCAAATTATAGTAATGAAAATCTTTAATATTGGTATAAAGGCATGATCAGTGATGTGAATGAAAGAGGGACAATAAAATTTTATTTGCCTTTGAGTCTTTCATTACCTTTTAATAGTCTTTTAATACCTACAATAGGATAATCCTGAGATTATCCTCAGTGGAACACTCTAGAATCAATTCCAATGAAATAGAATGTGGCAAAACCAATTTAATGCTCTGTTTCCACTGTCATTTGAGCCTTTCGCTATCCTGTTATTCCTTCCTCAATCCCCCTTACACACCTGGATCCTCGGCTATTGTCTCCTCTCTCTTCTCCATCCAGGGCTCATTGTTCTGATTCCCAGGTGAGCAGGACTGGCTGAGCAGTGGGAGACCTGCATTTAGGAAAGAGATTCTTCAGAAAGTACCTGGAAATTCCCATGGAACAAACATGAAGGATGCTGACACTTGCAAAAGGATAAACATGAGGGAGAGAGAAAATATCAGGATAAATCTCTCTCTTTCTCTGAGGATTCACTTTACTCTGTGAGATGTGAGACTCATTCACTCACAGCTCACACACGTCAGAGTAGTTTTCTCAGGAACCCTGAGCAGGAGAAAGGGAGACTGCAAGAAAACTTTCTTACCCACAGAAACCAGACTGTTGTACTTTGCCAACAGGAGATCTTTGTAAAGAGCCAGGTGAGCAGGGTTGAGGCATTCTAATTCCTCCTGCAAGAAATAAGTCCACAGTCACAGCACCGAATGTCAACAAACCTTGAAACAAACAAACAAACAAACAAACAAACAAAAAACCAAGTTTGACCACGTGTTCACAGACAGGGGGCTTTTCTTGAACCAAGAAACATTTTCTGATCTAGGTGTGTGATCATAATAATTCAAAGAGTGCTTTCTAATTTTGTTTTCATCTACAGTGAGTTTCCCAACTATAAAAAGAGTCTGGGCTGATATCCATTCACAGCATCCATAAAGTGCTTGCTTGGACCTAAAGTATTACATTAATATCTAAACATAGGAAGATACATTTCTGAATGCGGCATGTACATCATAGAGTGCACACATTTCAGATGGAAATTAATGGGGAGTAAAAGTTTGCTTAGTAAAAGTTCACAACCATAACTGTGGCACTTGATAAAGTATTGTTATGGGTAGCCTAAGAGAGATTAGCACTCAACAGTTTATAGGCAACTCAAAGTCTTTATTCCATCCAGCAGAGACCACACTCAAGTGTTCAGGGTCCTAGGCAAGGCTCCAAGTATCCAGAACATGGGTTTTTAAGGGCAGAGACCTCGGTCCAGGAGTCTTGCTTGGCAGTTGCAGGGGAGTTTTTAACAGAAGCTAAGAGAGGATGTTAGCCTGCCTGAGGCGGGGTTCCCACACACACAGACATCTAGGATAAAAGGTTAGCTGGGGGAGATTCTCCACAAAAAAGCACTTTTAACAAAGGCTAAATAAGATAGATTAGCTAGGACATCCTGACCTTTGGTTTCTAGTTTTCCATGGGATTCTCCATCAAGGAAATCAGACTCTAGTTAACCCTGGAAACAGCTTCAGCAAGAATACAAGATGGAGGAACCTCTGCACTGTCTTGTCCTGTCACAGTGTATTTTCTGATTCAGTCAAATCTGCGCTGGTTCCTCATGTGGCTAATATCTACAAAGCTCTTTGGGTGCCTAGTCCCAGGGAAAGCATGCATGAATTTAAATTCCAGGAGCTTTGTAAATAGAAAAAAGAACGGTGTTTGCAGACAGCACAAAATGCAAGCATAAAGCTCTACCAGGTTACTTTGTGAAAATACTCTGACAACCATAAGATTAATGAAAAATTTACGATTAAGTCCCAGTTCATAGGCTCTCAAACTTCCCGACAATGGTAAGGTATCAGCGACAGAATAGTGAGAGCGGCGTCCTTAAGAGCAGCCTCGGCGCGCACACCCTGGTCCCTCCCCTCCCGTGTCCCAGCCCCGCAGCTCCTCTGACCTGGGAGGTTCCAGGGCCGCCGGGCTGCGGTTCCCGCCACTGCGCTGCTGACTGGTGACTTTCCCTGGCCACCCCACGTGGCACCTGTGGCTACCGGGAGTTTTCAGGTTCTCCGAGAGAAGCGACTGTCCTCCACCCCGGAATCCGGACCAGAGAGCTCTCCCAGGTCCCACAGTGAATGGTGGAGTTTCCTGTCACTCTGGCCTGGCTCCTGAGAGTGTCTCCCTGGCCCCGCCCACTACACGCCGGTTCCGGTTACGTGGTTCCTTTAAGTCCGCCCACGCCAGGCGCTTTCCCTTTCTTAATTACTTTTCCAAATCCTTCGAAGTTTTTTCTTTTACCATCTCTCCTCTAATCGGGCGAATGTCCCCGCTCTGCCGAGACCCGTCCCTCCCACTCGGTCTCGGGCTGCCTTCCACACAGCTCCAGCTGTCAGGCTGCCCTGGACCCGCTCTGCACAGCCTCCCCACATGCTCGCTGCCAGCCTAGACCAGAACTGCATCTAGAAGGACGCTGCACCCCCCGTATCTGACCCCTACCCTGGGATCTGACCCTTTCAGATACAAGCTTTCCTTCCTAACTTCTCATCTTGGGGTAGCAGCCTCCTGGGTTAAAAATGCACAGCAAAAGACAACGCCCTAAATTCTGGTGATCAGGTCCCATTCCCAGAACAAATTAAAACGAAGACAATATGCCCTTAACTCAAATCTCAGATCGTAGCTGTATCCCTTAAGAAAAGCACTTTAAATGATATCCATGACACAGAACTGAAAAACCAGAGTCATGTTCAAGGAGGTCAAAGCATATAGAGCACGTTAATGAACTCAAAGAGGTAAGTATAAAATGATTGATGGGCAAGAAAACAGCAAATGCCTGAAGGAAAAGAGGACAATGCAAGATATGAAAACTAAATTCAATAAATAGCTAGAAACACCGAAAAAAAACCCAAAATGAAGTGAAACAGGAAATGGAGAATGCAATAAGCCTAATAATAAAATGAATCAAATAGGAGACAAAGTATCAGGTTTGAAGACCAAATAGAGGAGCCGAATTTCTCAATCAAAGAAAACGAAGAATTAAAATAAAATGCTCCATACAACTAGCACTATTTAAGGTAAAAATGAAACCCAGCTGCACAGCCTACTCTTATATAAAAAGTATTGTAAATTTTAAACACAGTAACTCACCCTAGAGAGCTTTCCCGGGAAGCTGGATAATCATTTCCATCATTATACAGATGAATGACTTTAAAAAGCCATCTTTATCCTTCCTCCACAATTACCAGGTGAATATCCGGAATTACACCATTAGCAATAATGACTTGGGGGCAGACATTTCAGGAACTCAGGATTTTGAGAGGAAATGGGTGTCTCAGGAAATCATTGGTCACTTAGTCCTTTTACAGCATAGTGCTGAATTCACCCTGTGCTGTACTCCTGAAACTGCTAGATGGTGGCATTGGCATTTTGCTAACTCTCAAGGAACTTTGTCTTCCAGGAATCATTTAAGAGCTGTTTTTAATTAAAACATAGGAAATTTATTTTTAAAAAATGCAGAAACCCGTTGCTGTCCCAGATGCAGAAAATAAACAATGTATATGGCCACAGTCCTAAATAAGTCAGCTACACCATTCCATCTAAGGCTTCGAGAACACTGAGGAAGAGGTGGTGGGAAGGAAATAAGAAGGGGAAGAGGGGGAATGGGCATGACCTGCCATTCTCCAGATTCCACACAACTAGACTAATCAGTAACCCAGAGCAACTGTCTTACCTGCACTGCCCACACTCAAAACCTGTCTTAGCCACAATCAGCCTAGGACGGGGAGAGGCTCACAGGGCCCTTATAGTTCTCAACTGTGGCTATGGATAGACTTTAGGAGAAGGGGAATCACTGTCTTTACTTGTGTCTCCTCTGAGAAACCACCAGGCTTCAATACATAGCACCAAAACCACATTCTCACAGATGGTCCCTGGTTAATCTCGATGGGTCAAAAAACAAAGTGAATAGAAATGAATACGAGAGAGAGAGGTAGTGAAGAGGACACACACACACCACACACAGAGGAGGGCAGGTATGGGGAGAGAGAATTATTGTAAGAATGGTCCAGGATTGTAGGGAGTCAGGCATGAGAGTGCATTGAAAGTGAGGTATGTCATGTGAAAAGGAAAAAAAAAATATCAAAATGACCACATCAGTCTGTACTTTCATTTTTGTGGGGAATCAGGTAATACCAGCTTCATTAAGAATCTGGAAGCCTCACTTTCCTTTTATATCAAGGAATATTTTAAGTAGCTTCAGTATCAGTTATTCTCTGAAGTTTTGACAGAATTCTGTGATGAATCAATCTTCTTCTTGGTGATTCTTTTTCTTTTCTTTCTCTCTTCTTTTTTTTTCTTGAATGGGGGTACATTTATTATTGCCTCACTGTTGTTGCTGCTTAATTATCAGTTTATTTATTTCAATGTTGATGTAATTTTGGTATGTGGTATGAATCAGATTATTTGTCCATTTCTTTTGGAGTTTCCAATGTAGTTTCCTGGAGGTGTTTAAAGTCAGTGGACATCAGATACACTTGTACACTTGTGTCTATTGAGTAGGATGTGCAGTTGGCTTAGGTACTTCTCAGGTCATGTTGACAAAAATAATTCTGAATACACAGCTATCAGGGAGATGCAGACTAAATCTCCCCTAAGATTCCATTTCATCACAGTCAGAATAGCCATCATCAGGAAAAATAAATTCTGGCATGAATGTGAGTAAAGGGACAGTATTATATACCACTTATGGGAATGTAAATTAGAGCAGCAACTTTGGAAAATGGTCTAGATTTTTCTCAAAAAAACTAGAAGTAAAAGTAAAAGTACTGTATATAATACACTGTTTAGTCTCTTGATTGTTCTCTACAATTCTCTGTATACACCCAAGCTGAGGAAAAGAGACCCCAGTATTATCCAAGTTCCTTTAGGGATTCTAGCTAAGAAATATATTTGTCATAATTATAATGAAGACTATGTTTCTCTGGTGTGTTCTGAGGTTCAAGCTGTACAGTCCCAAGTGTGACAGTAAAAAGGTATCCCAGCTCTAGAGGGGGTGAAAGCTCAGAAAAACAAACTCAGAATTAAGGCCCTGTCTTTAAAGCACAGGGTTGTGAGCATGTTCAATTTTCAGATGATATGGCTACTTGTTTTACATTGTTGTAAGTTTATTGTTTCTCTGTGTGTGAAAAGCAAGCAAGCAAGAAAAAAAAAGACATCACTAGCTAATAGTATATGTGCTGCTGAATGAGCACAGTCACCAGCTAATAGATTCTGTAGATATGCATGGATTAAACACATTAATGATTAACTCCAGATCACCAATAATACATCCAAGTTGAGTTAAGGAAAGAAATGAAAGCTTTTAAATAAGAGTCCAGATCTGAATTCTTTACTTCGTACTCCCTGTATCTTGTTAGGGACAGACAGAGTACACAGACAGACTGACACACAGAGACAGATTCACAAGACAGCCTTCCGGCAGGCACAGTTTAAGACTCAAGCAACAGACAGAAGAGGTCAGAAGACACAGGAAGCATGAAGAAGAGAGCAAAATCTGGACTTTCTCTTGATTAAATTACTCCAATGGTGAAGTGTTTATTTCTTTTCTTGAAATTGATTCTTCATTGATAACTGTGGAGTATTGGAGAAATTATTTTGGCCACTCCACGTAGTTAAAAGGATATTTATTTAATGGCGTAACTCACAAATTAAGTGATAGGTAGGTCGCAGGGTCTGGGGAAGGTATATCGCAATCCAGCGGTGTTCTCCGGAGCTCTGCACAGTCCACCTTCACCGTTCAGCGTCTGGCACAGAGAGAGCGCACAGAGAAAGCGCACAGAGAGAGCGCTGGCCCATCCAGCTCTCAGGTCTCCAGGTGCCTCCCCTGGCCCCACCTCGTAGGTGTGACAGTTGCCAGAGTCTCAATGGGGGTTGGAACTTCCAGATCCAAGCTGGAATGGCTACCCACTACAGTGGAGGGGCCCCAAAACAGCTTGACCACACAGCCACCATCATGATAGGCTTAGAGGCCCAGACACAGCTTCTGTGACAAGCTTCCTGGCAGGCAACACCCAAATCCAGGAAAAGCCTTAAGCTTAACACCACCCAGGGATCCACACAGGGATGGGGAAGTACCTAACATCCCAAACATTGCAACCATTAGATAAGGTGGCCAGATGAGTCTAGCACACACCTCTTTTTGTCTTACAGATACTCCTAGACAACTGTCAGCCAATCAGAGTCCTAAACCCTGGAAATCCCCTCACCCCAACCTCTGTTGTGATAAAACCCTACCTTGCCTGGACTCTGGGCTCTCTGTTCTCACCACTGTGTTGGACAGACAGAGAGACCAAGCTAGGAGCTTGAAGAGAACAAAAGCTCTTTGCTTTTACATGCGGAATTCGGTCTCTGTGGTGGTCTTTTGGGGGTCTCCACAATCTGGGCATAACAATGGCTTGGAGTTAATCACTAACACATATAATCTGTATGCATATGCATATATACTTATGTAACACTGTTAAATGAAAAAAGAGGCCATGAATTTGAAAGAGAGCAAGAAGGAGTATATGGGAAGGCTTGGAGGGAAGAAGGGAAAGGAAGAAATGATTTAGTTATATTATAATCTCAAAATGTAAAAGAAATAATTTTATAAAAAGAAATGAAGATATTGCTGCCAAAAATAGAGTTTCTGAGAACAGTTTAAATCACAATCAACAAAATTAGCCTATTGTTACATTTATAAGATATGTATATTTTAATTATATCAAGCCTAGCAATTATGAAAAATGGTCTCTACAAACAGGCTTATCCTAAAATTTTAAGTTTCCATATAAAAAAGCAGTTTAGAGATTTTTCTAATCATATAATAAAAGTATGTCTTAATAATTGACTCATCCTTTAAATGTATAAGCTAGGTTATCTTTTCAGAAGGTAGTAAAGATGCTTTAAAGTATATTTATTTTATATGTATGGGTGTTTTGGCTGCATATGTGTGAATTCACCACATGCTCACAGTGCCTCAGAGAGCAGAGCATTGAATCCCTTGTAACTGGAGTTACAGACAGTTGTGAGCCACCCTGTGGGTGCTGAGACCAAATCTGGGTCCTCTGTAAGAGCCACAAGTGTTTTTAACTGCTGAGCCATCTCTCCAGTCCTGATAGAGACCAACTAGA